AAAGACTGAAGAAATAATTGATTATGAGGACAAACCAGACAGAGGCGTTCAATGTGGGTCCGGTCGATCTCGTCGGGAGTCTCTCTGCTTGCGGCAAGCAGGACATCGATGACGTCACTGTACTGCGACGGTTTCCCCTTCTGCAACCTCTCATTAATCAATCCGCTGAACAAATCGATGACCTTCCCGAAATAAACGGTCATCCGGCGGCGCACCCCTTGCGGGTCGACTTTCCTGAGCATCGGGAAAAAATCGACGAGGTTGGGCTTGCCGGCCTCCACCATGATGCTCCAGACGAGGTCCTTGAACTCCTTGGCGGAGTCCGAGAAAGGGTCCGTGAGATCCTTGGAGAAGATGGTGTTGGAGAGGAGGTTGAGCGAGGTCCGGAAGGCCGCCCGGCCGACGTCGACGGGGTCGCCGGACTGGCTGCTTTTCCGGCAGTAGGCGACGAGCTCCTGCACCTTTCGGCAGCGGAGGTGCTGGTTGGCGTCGAGGCGGCTGCCGGAGAACATGTTGGAGTTGAGGGCCTTGCGGAGGCTGCGCCAGCGGGGGGCGACGGGGAGCCAGACGACGGAGTATTTGAACTGGTCGTGGGCGTGGATGGCGTCGGGGACGGTGCGGCTGGAGAATTGGAGGTCCTGTTTTTGGAGGATCTCGCGGGCCATGGCGGCGGAGGAGGCCACGACGGTGTTGACGAGGCCGAGGCGGAGGCACATGAGGGGGCCGTGGGATTTGGCGAGGCGGGCGAGGGAGTGGTGGGGGAGGTCGCCGAGGAGGTGGAGGCTGCCGATGAGGGGGAGAGGGGTGGGGCCCGGGGGGAGGTTGCGGCGGCGGGCGGAGAGGGTCTGGACGGCGTGGAGGAGGGTGGCGGCGAAGAGGAGGCCGAGGATTACGGTGAGGAAGTCCATGGTTGTGTGAGGGTGTGTGCGTGGTGTGTGTTCGTTTAATAGGTCATGGGGAGCTCGAGGGGCGCGTGATGATTATTTTTAATCATTAATAATAGAAATGAGGGGTGCGGAAAATGACATGATTTTTATATTATTATTATTGTTGTTGTTTTTTGTTCCTTTGTTATGGGGAAATGAAAATACTGGATAAGATTAATTGCAGGGGCAAATAAATATTTGTTTCGGTGGTATTGTGCGGCTTGTGTTAATGTGTTATCATTATTAAATTTTAGGTGATCAGTTGATATTATGAAGTGTGATATCTCCAACACATCAATAGTACTGTCCCGTCCAGTCAACTAATTAAAGTTGTCGCCAATGGCCCAATACTCAAACATTGGAGTTAGACTGCATCATAATTGCGGATAAATTTATTTGCCATACTTTTTAGTATGTTATATAGCATAGAGACTTGAGAGCTTGATCTTGAATTAGAGCCCGGTTCAGGACCCTCCAGCTCGATTTATCTCCAAGGAGATCGAGTAGATCGGGCTGAAACCCCAAGGGGAGTTGGGTTGATTTATCGACCTATAACTTGCACAACATAAGACCTAGTTGATCGAGCTAGAGCACTAGTGGATTTGTGGCAATTCTATAAGATGATTTTGGGTCGACTTATATAGGTTATTGGGCAGCAAGATTTGGGCGAAAAGGTACATAATTTTTGGGCAGCAAGATATTCTTGAGAAACAAGGTAATCATTTTCATATATAAGAAGTAAGGTATGATGATAGGGTCTTCCCTTTTTTTTTCGTTCCTATTATTTTCTGAATATTCACATCATATTTGTGAGAGTGACTTGATCGTCGGCATCTACATCGGGGACCCTCCCGACACTTTTTCAGGTACTAGGTGAGAAGGTCAAAGGCGATTTTGAGATCCAAAGAAGGAATGTTATATATATCAAAAAATGCTTGAGTTGTTTGGTAGATCTCTATCAAATTGGCTTCTTCTGTGGGAAATCTCAGTTCAAGTAAAGTTGAAGCATTCCACAATTTGCACGAGGTCTCTGCCGATATCAATGACTGTGAAGACAGAGCTCACGAGGATAAGGGCTTTGACGATACTTTGTTGTAGATGCGACCTCTGGGGTCGGGACCGCCTTTGGGGTGGCTTGTTAATTAGTAAGAAGTCGTCGAGAACCCCAGTTAACGAGGTCCCAATTCTCCAGGCGATGTCAGTTTGAACCTCTCTAAAGTTGACTAAAAAAGATGGGTTGAATAACCCACTCCGCCAATAAGATCTCATTATGAGTAGTACCTACACCTTGTAGGTCGAAGTTACAGGCAATAAAAAGCTTACTGTACATTGTATGATATAGATTGCACTTAAAAGACATCACCATATGTACCCATATGAGAAATATACAAAGATGGTGTTCGTTATAAAATTATTCAATTTATACACAAAATTTAATTCAATCACACTATTCTCAATATTGTCAGTATAATTAAAGAATATCATACACATCACATCAACATCAATTCACTATTCATCAACTCACATAATTTTAACTAACTATCACTTCACATCATCTCTATTTTACTTTTACATCAAATCAACTTTAACTATTTTATCTTAAATATTATTTTAATATAAAATCAAAATATCAGTAACAACTAATCATACCACTTTTTTCAAATTAACTCTAGTTAACCAAAAAAACTCATTTTAAGCGAATATTTTGTATCCAAGCACGTCCAAATCCTTTCTTTTTGTTTATCATTTTATTTATTTGGTTGTGGTAGGACAAGTGTTGACAGGCGTTTCCGGTCAACGTTTAAAGAATTGAATAATAAAAAGGTGGTGAGGAAAAGACAAAGAAATACGGTTTAATTATGACTTTATTAAAGGATCACGATTTCGGCCTCTCGTACGAGGTCGGCACTTGCGATATACTTACAGATTCTTACACGAATTCCTTACAAGTCTAGAGAGAGAAAGTATAGAGAGAGTTCAGACAGTTGGGATTCAACAACCCAGAAATAAATGAGGGGGTTGCTATTTATAGGGCTCTTTAATGTGGTACTGTTCATTGGTCTTGTCGCACAGTGTTCTTGCAGAGCAGTCCGGCGCTTCCCTGACATAATTCAATGCGATTTGAGGTTTTCCTCATCATTGCCTGACAGACATTTAATGCACATATGGGGGTCATTTAATGCTGGCAGGCTTTATGTCTTGGCTAGAGGATGTAGGTCAGCAGGCTAGGATGCCGCGTCCAATCACCAATGATTACTCTCCAAGTGGCATTAATATACTGTCATCGAGATCGGCATCCGTCATGGAAGATCCGTTCTGAGACCTCAGGTCGGCTCCTGTTTCCTTTTCGCTCCTCCGGTTCTGGGGCGCCTTCCTCCAGGTCGTCACTTATCAGGCCGGTACCGGAACTTGACTGTCGCGAACGCCGGGCTAACGGACGGACTCGCGGGGTTGTTAGGATAAAAAAGTTTCGGCGTCCAGCTCGGCACCTACGCGCTAGACTGGGTCTCCGGTTCGGCTCTCGAAACTCAGAGGGCGAATTCGGATGTCAACAACAAGTCTATTAATTGAAAAAATCATTAATCATTATATATTTATATTTTCAATTATTTATATTTTCAAATATATATATATTCTAACAATATTTTAAATAAAACCTCATAAATTATACATACGTGGCACCTATCTTTCCAAAAACTAATTTTGTTAATTAAGACATAAATCGTTATATTTTATATTAGTTGAGTAATATTATATTTTTTATTGTATCATATAATAGTTATTATTCAAATTAATAATTACATTTTATACTAAATGATATATGAAAGGTATATAAAAATAAAAATTATATTGTAAAACTTTTTGTTCAAGTTATTTATTTTAAAATTAATATTTTTTTATTTGATTAAGCAATTATTTTTTATATAAATTAATTTTTTTTTAATGTCATAGTAAAATCCCCTAAAATTGCATAAGTAATCTATATATATATATATATATAATTACTAGCTCAAAACATTTAATAAAACCTATTTAATTTTACCTATGTGGCAATTTAATAATTTTCCCTCCAAAAACCGTTACATTTTGATGTATTTAATCTTTCATTTAATCATTAAATAATTAATACTCATCACTTCAAAATTACAAAAATCATTTTAAATTTTTTATTAATGACAGTTGACCATATAATGTGTTGACCGTATAATGTGATTAGATGTTATTATTGTTGTTACATTTAATTTTTTTCTTAAAAATAAAAAATATATTTGAAATTCCTAAATAAATAATAAATAATTCACAAATAAAAGACGTACCAAAATATACATTACATCTAATCAGATAAACGCAATTTTTTTAAAAAAAAATCCAACTCTTTTAATTGTAAATTTGGTCTGCAAAAAAGTGAAAGAAAAATAATTAATCATTATATGCATACAAACTCACAATAATTTATTTATATCTGTGCAAATGCACAGGTCGAATACTAGTTGTTATACTAAATTTAATATTCAGTAAATTAACTGGGCATGATCTCTCAAAATTACAAATATTACATGATTTATTACATTTTATGCAATAAATATAGTGATTCATATTCAATCAAATAGTTGCGTACTATTTATTTTAAGCAATGATCAAATTTTAAACATAATTCCAATATCTAAATTAGAATTTAATATTATATGCATAAATATAACTTATAGTACTTTATGTTTTAAATTTAATATCATTATCTATAACTTGTAATTTTAATATTATATGAATATCTATAATGTATAATTTATTTATATATGGGCAAATACAAAGATCGAATACTAGTATACAAATAAAAACAACAACTGCAATAAATTCATGCTTAATGTTCTTCAAATCACACTCCTGTCAAAACCTCCTCAGTTTTTCACCTCCAAATTCATATACATGAAAAGGTGCACTAAATGTCAAACTAATAATATATATCTTACATTTTCTTCTGACTCATACTACAGCAGCACACCCTGGCAAAAGAATCCACCACCCCTCGTGCCCCTCGTGCCCTCAGAACATTTTTGTACTTATACCAATTGCACCTAGTAAAAAAAAAATTGACTACACCCTTGTAAAAATAAATCCCCTTACAATGATCACACTATAAAACTGGCTCTACACAAGACAGGCCAACACCACCAATATCCCATTTACACATCCTCTCCAAAATTAACAAATTCCGAAACAGAAAATGTCTGCGCCAACAGTGCAGAAGCATTTCGTGGCCGTGCACGGAGTCGGGCACGGCGCCTGGGTTTACTACAAGCTGAAGCCACGGATGGAGGCTGCCGGCCACCGCTTCACGGCGGTCAGCCTGGCGGCAGCCGGCAACAGCCCCAAGAAGCTGGAGGAGGTCCGGTCGCTGCACGACTACACGGAGCCGTTGCTCGAGGTTCTGGCCACCGTGCCTGAGGGCGAAAAGGTAATTCTCATCGGGCATAGCGGCGGAGGCTACGCGGCCGCCTACGGCATGGAGAAGCACCCGGAGAAGATCTCGGTCGCCGTTTTCTTGAACGCGCTCATGCCCGACTCCAAGAATCGCCCGTCTTACGTCATTGACGAGGTCTTTTTTTTTAGATGTGTACTACTTATAATTGCATTTATTGTCGATCGTCATTACCTCATACTTTTATGATTTCTTGAAAAGTACCTCGCGAGGACTCCACCGGAAGCATGGATGGACACCCAATTCCCGACCTACGGCGAGCCCCCGATCACGGCATTGGTCGTGGGGCCCAAGTTCATATCCGAGTCCCTCTACAACTTGTCCCCGATTGAGGTAACAAAATAAAAACTACTCTTCGTGACCTTTTTTTTTTTTTTAANCCTTTTTTTTTTTTTTAATAAAACACACATTTACTAGCGGCAAACTAGCTGACTGAAACAGATATACTATTGAATTCAGAGAGAGAGAACTATACACGACAACGTGTGTAGCCTAGAATCAACTAAACTAAACGCACTACAAACTACAATAGTAATAATCTAAACTTCACTTAGGGAGATATCTAACTCCAATAATGGATAATAAACCCAAAAACAAAACACAAACACACACTAAACAAAAACACTAAAACACTAGATTAATTCATTATTCAAAAAGATTGACGGCAAATGTTGCGCGATTTGAAGGATCAAGTGTTGGGCCACCTTTCGGTGAGGCCCGGGTCACTATTCATGGAGGATCTGGCCACGATGGACAAGTTCTCGGACGAGAAATTCGGTTCCGTGCCGCGGGTTTACGTGATAGCGGCCAACGACAAGACAATACCGCCCGAGTTCCAGAAGTGGCAGATAGAAAACAACCCGGTTAAGGAGGTGAAGGAGATCAAAGGTGCCGACCACATGCCAATGTTTACACAGCCAGATGCCCTCTGCAAGTGCCTCATCGAGATTGCCGAGGATCATGCCTGAATAAGGGACCAAAAAGAGAAACAAATATTGTGATGCCAGCAACTACTCATGTTTTTTCTTTGATTTGGATGGGCTCTGTTCTGTTCTCATGTTTTTTCTTTGTTTTGGATGGGCTCTGTTTTTTCCTCTGTTTTGTTCTAGTGATTTGATGTGTGGAAGTTAAAGGAACATCTCGGCTCCTTTGGTCTTAAAATTTCAAGAGTTTGAGTTTGAAGGGAATGAATAGAAAATAAATCATTTGATGAGTTTGGACTTTGGAGGGAGGAAAATGAAAATGAAAATAAAAATGCCATAGTTGAGAGCAATCTGGAATCGTTTGGGCTCAACTTATTACAAGATCATGCTTTACTTATCGATCATTGATTTTATCATTTCATCTAAAGTATTGGAATATCATTTATGAGTTATCTCACATCCTTGTAGGTACATTTTCTCTATAAGAACAATCTAAGATAACTCAAAAGTGATATTTTAATATAAAATATACATCCAAAGCTCAGCATTATTGATTATATTAGATTAAACCTGAGCGTACACCTTCATCGACTTAAATGAAAACAATAGTGCAACACATAAGAAATAGAATTGAAACCAAATCGACAATTTTCTACTCTTACTGAATTGCACAATTCTATGCATTTGAGTTCGATTTGTACAAAACCATACCAAGCCGCAAAACTCGAAGATCGAACTTGTGAAAAAAATAATCGAACAATACTTCAATTGATATGGGTACCATACCGGGGAATAGCATCAGGTCGATCAGAGGCCGAATGTCAGGAAGGTCGAAAGTGACGTCATGTGAACGAATTACCAGTAGGTCGACATCTCAAGATCATCCATATCTACTACAAAGTCTTGATAATAATTAAAATTGCATATGAGCTTTTTTTAATTTAGCATGATGTTGTTTTTAATATTATATGATGTTATAATTTACACAGGTGCTATAGCATATATAATATTATTATTTTAAAAAATTAAATCCTAATAAAAATCGGCACAAAATGCAATCAAGCATAGTTAAAAATCTCACAATATTCATATCTGAATAATATCATAAGTATTTATATATTCACAAATTATGGTGTTAAACGGTTTAATTGTTAGTCGAATGTATATATCATATTCCTTGAATAAAAAATACATATTGGACCAGTCAAGTGTCATACTTTTATTTATTTTATTAAGTACCAAAAAGTATTAAACATGATCCGAATTGGTAGTGCATCCACCTAATAATTAGGATCACAAAACTACCTTTTTGAAATACATACATCACTAGCGAAAATTAGGAAACGAAAAAAAAAAAAATGGAATCCAAAAAACAGAAAGTTCTTATAGTGTTGGTGCACGGCGCGTGGTGCTGGTACAAGGTGAAGCCGCTGCTCGAGGCGGCCGGCCACCGCGTAACCGCCCTAGACATGGCGGCCTCCGGCAAGGACCGGAGGGAGCTGCTGCGGGGAATGGCCGACTACATGCGGCCACTGCTGGAGCTGTTGGCGGAGTCCAGCCGCCGAAGAAGGTCGTGCTCGTGGGCCACAGTCTTGGTGGGATGAACGTGTCAATCGCCATGGAGATGTGCCCGGAGAAGATCAGCACCGCCGTTTTCGTAGCGGCATTCATGCCGGATATCGTGCATCCCCGTCTTATGTTATCGAACATGTAAGATTAAGATTTATGATTTTATCTTTTGATTGTCACTTTAAGTTTTTTCACTTTAATAAAGGTTGTGTTTGGTTTGACTCATATTAGGTGATGTAACTACGTAGTAAACATATTATACATTATAAGTTTTTATTCGATTTGTGATTAGAACTCGTTATTCTTAAACTTTCAAATTCGAATTCAAATAAGAACAGTGTTAAGTGTTCGAAATTTATTAGAATTTGAATTTGAATATGTACATATTCGATTCGAAATTATTGAATATTCGATTTGTTAATGATAATTATATATAATTAAAATATTATTGTAAAACACAGAAAATGTATTTATATTCAACAAAATATATTTAATTTATTTGTAAAACATACTTATATTATTATATTCAAAAAATATATTTATAAATAGATTCTGAAAACAAATACCAAATATAATCGAATGTATTCGATTATCTTAATCAAATCGAATATAAATCCAAATCAAGTTCGATATAACTAATCGAATACGAATAGTTGAATATTTTCATGAATTCAAATTGAATAATTGAGTATTCGCTTCAATTCAATTTGTTTATAACCCTAGATGTAACACCGTTTCATAATATTTGATTTTCATGTCATTATTTTTGATTCAACAATTGTAAAGCCGTTGAAAGAGAATGGTGATCGAATTTTTATTAAAATTTCTCAATTTACCATATCCCATATGGGTTTGGAATATAATTTTTGTGACTAGGGTGAGCAAGCTTAAATAAAAAAATCGAGCTGAATCATGCAATTCAGTGAAAGACGGTTCGGTTACTTTAGTATAGAAGATCTTAGGCTAGATTTCAATCCGATGTTTCTATGTGTTGCGTTATGATTTGATTATATTTATGTTTCTATGTCTATAAGATCTTAAGCACTTTTGGAAACTTTTTATTGAAAATTCATTAATTGTTTGAGGAAACTTTCCGTCTTTTTCGTTTAAATAAATAAATTTGTGAAAATATTATGCATATCATAATTCCCAATGTAAGTCATTCCGAGTTTAAGGCTAAATTACGTATACGAATATAACTAGTACGTACCCGTGTGACGCATGGGAGGAATGTATTAAATGAGTTATTTTCACATGCTCGATCCGTTTAAGTCTAAAAAGTAATAGGGTTATCATTTATTTTCCACCTCTTTAATCAGCGTTAAGTGTAAAAAACAATATGATTATAATCTATATTCCACCTCTTTTAAACAATAGGATTGTAATCCATTTTCACCTCTTTTAATCGACGTTTTTTTAAGCAGAACATTAAATATGAACATCTTAGGGATAACTTGTAAAATAATTAATATATTATCTTACTAACACATTTACAGTAATATAAATTTGATTTTAGTATATATATATATATATATATATATACTAAAATCAAATTTATTATATATATATATATATATATATATATATATATATATATATTTATTCATTGATATAAGAGAAAATAACAATTTTAGAGCATCTCCAATTGTAAATGGATTGCTCTATTTCATTGCCACCTAGCTCCAAAAATCCAAAGTGGCATTTAAAAAATGTAGAAGTTTTTCTATATGTAGAAAAATATATAAAATAAATGATATAATATAAAATAAAACATGTGTAAATATTTTTTTCTTCACTAACCAATTATTATGTTACATGTGTCAATTATTCCACAATTGACATTAACCATTGGAAACAAAATATTTTTATTCCCTTTCTCCACACCATTCATTTCAAAATATATAATCAATTTATATATAAAAATTTATATTTGACGCACGTTAGTATTATTTATTTATGTAATTAATTTAAAATATGTAAATGGATTTAAAATTAAATAGTGTATAAATACTTTACAAAATATACACACATGTTTTTTTAGAATTTAATTTTGCATACTAATTAAACAACTTTGATTTGCGAAATGTCAAAAACTCAATCCCTTCTATAATCAAGATCTTTCAAGTTTGCATTATAAGGATTTATAGTTTTATTTAGCATATTGATCAATGAAAATATATTTCACAATAATTTCATTATAGAAAAAATTAAAATAAAAAAATAATAAAGAATATATTCATGGTTGCCAATAATATAGAAATAAATTCTAAAGAACATGCAATATATTTTAATTTTAATTTTTTACCATTGGTAAAATTATTTAATTTATATAGTCATTATCTCTTAAATATTAAATTATATTAATTTGAAGAATAAACCTGTTACAATTTTTTATAAATATTTTTTGAATAAAAAGTTAATACTTGTAAAAAAAAATTAATATTATGGTTAGAACATAAAATTATTATAATGAATATCAATGAAATTATTGAAGATATTAATAAAATTATTTAAGGAAACAATATTTTTTATCATATCTGATTTGATCTTATTTGAAAACTAGTGCGTGGCCCGTGCGATGCACGGGAAAACAATATTACGATTGTATTATAAATTAAATATATAAATAACATTAATCATGATTTATCTAATGTTTTTAAATTAATCCGGGTTGGACACAGTCCGACCGGATGAACCGAGAACCGGTTTATAACCAGTCTAGTTCATTTGAATAAAATATTTGCTCTCGAATCCGTCAACACCAGTCAGTTGGACTGGTAGGATCGATATGATTTTCTAAATAAATTTTGTTATATTTAAAATTATTTTAAATAAAATTCCATATTTAAATAAAATAGATATTTATACATTGTTTCTCAATTAGTTTAAGCATTTGAATATAAATTGTTTAGATATCTAAGTATCACATTTAGATATTTATTAAAATGTTTATAAATTAAAACAAACCACAAATGATTTAATAAAATAGCTTGATCGTTTTGATGACGGTCTAGTTCTGAAAACCTTGTATTTACTCTACATTAATAAATATTATAATAAAATATTATTTAATTCACATAAATATTAATAAAATGATATATATATATATATATATAAATATTCATAAATCATTAAACATGTTGTCATAAAAGTATTGTTAATACGATTGTTTGAAATTTGGACTACATCATATTCACGTAATAAAAAATTTTAAATATAAAATTTATATTAAGGTTCAATAATCGATTTGGTGTGGTCGAACTGATACATAACGTAGTCACCTGGGACCAACCAAGTTGTGTCAAGTTTTTTGACTATTTTAAATATCACCTAAAAGTAATTCAATCAATCTGGGCAGTACCCTAATTCAATCACCCAATTGATCCCGAAGAAATTTTCATATCTTTAAACATATTTAGCTTTATGAAATAAAATTATTTTATGATTCATATAATAAATGTCTACACCAAATGATAGTGTATTAAGATTAGAAATTATATATCTAAAGATGAATTAATAATTTTTACTTTATGCATATTAATAAAAAATAAACATAGTAATTTATAAAAAAAACTAAGATTACTTGATTGATTATGCAATTTAAAGAATATTTTTAGCGTTCAATATTTTTCTTAAAGGCACAAATATAAAGATCGAGATTCTAAAAATTTTGTTATATTTTGAATTGAGATTTTATAAATATAGGGACCGAGATTTTAATGTTATTCGTTGTTTTTAGGAAAAAATAAAAAAAGAAAAGCATACACACTTAATAAATTTTAGCTGATTTTTTAAATAATAAAATGAATTAAAGTCCAAAATTTAAAGTAGCATTTAATGTTGTATGATTTTTAAAGAAAAAATAAGAAAAATAATAAAACTTACTATTTATAGGCAGCATTAAATTCTGACCTATTTTTTTGCTACTATTTTTAATAAATGGTAATTCTTATTATATATATATAGAAGTGTATATAGAAGTAATTAATGCATATATTTAATATATTTAAAAAGTTTCCAAAAAAGGGTATGCATTAAATGCTCCCAAATTTTTTGCTACTATTTTTAGTAAATGGTTATTCTTATTATATATATATATATATATATATATATATATAGATAGATATT